AATAAAAATAATATAGAATAATAAAATTATATAAAAATATTTTATCATAATAAATAAATTATGTAATAAATAAAAAATATTTTAATTAGTTAGCTTAATTTGATGTACAATTATATCTATTAAAAATAGTTTTCGGATACACATAATTTATCTAGGAAAGGTATAAATCACTACACTTTATATAACGAAATGTCGCACTTTATTAAACAACACATCGCACTTTATAAAACAACACATCGCACTTTTTAAAAATATTAAAATAATAAATATAATTTTATAATTATAAATAATAATTTATTTAAATTATTTAGGCTAATTCTATGTACAATTATATCTACTATTCTAGATTTCAAAAACACATAATTTATTAGTGATCATATAAATTAGTGCACTTTATATACGATCGAGTTCCACTTTATATTAATTATATGTAAATTATATATATTAAAACTAGTTTTCGGATATATATGATAAACTATAAATTAGTGAAATTTATTAATAAAACATTGCACTTTATAACAAAAAATGTCGCACTTTATAAAACAACACATTGTACTTTATAAACACACTCCACAATTAATGTCAACAAATCATGCCAAAATATTACGCAAGATGAATATTAAAAATGGGGCGACATAATACTTTACTATCCATCACATTATATATCAAAATAATAAATAAATAAATAAATAGACACATCCGTGATAACATACTAGGTTATCAATATCTGCACTTTATATATCAATAAATTGTACTTTATACAACAATATGTTGCACCTTATAACACAACACGTCGCACATATCAAATTACAATAATTCTAATAATCGCTCGAAAATATTAGTTGGCCAGAATTATTTTTTTTAGTAAACAAAATAACCGCACACTTCGAAATATACGGAAAAATCTTAACGATTATTTATTTATTTATGTTTATATTAAAATTAATACTATTTTTCATCTATATATATTTTTTTATGTATTGAGATTGCACAATAGAATTATACAGATCGCACACAATTGTCTATCACATTGCACAAAGACGAACTACATCGAACGAACATAAATTCGATATGAATTTTTATATGTTTGTTCTATTATTATTGTTGTTGTTATTATTATTATTATTATTATTATTATTATTATTATTATTATTATTATTATTATTATTATTATTATTATTATTATTATTTTATATGTCGAGTATTTCGATACGATATCATTTTTTTTAGGTTTTAAAAATTACTAATACTATCTTTGTATTTATTAAATTCTTAATAATTTAGTATTAATATTTATATCACTAATTAATTGATGTTATAATTAAAGTTTTACAAAAATTACAAAAAATCCCTAACATTAATCTAATTAACATTAAAACTAACCCATAATCTCACACAAATCAACCAGCTTCACCCTGCCAATTCATCGAAAATTGATCACATAATCATAATGAGAATTCACCTACAATTCACCCAAAATTGTTCACAAAACAGAATGAAAATCACATAAAATCGTTCACAGAATCAGAATCATTCAAGTCTAGTTCACCCTAAATCAAAATCAACCAGAATCATGATGCAATTCCTCAGCCCCCAAGGCGTTTCCGGCCGCTGCCTCCCATCTCCTGTTCAGATCTCCGGCGAGCTCGTCCCGTTCAAGTCGTCGTCCCCGTCGCTACTATTCTCGACTCATCTTCTTCTGCAACTCGTCTGCAACACACGAATCTTCTCTACAGAGGAGGCGGATGGCGAAGACGAGGCGAGGTTGCTGTGGCCGGGCGAATGAGGCGAAACGGCGGAATGGTGGTTGATAGGAGGAGGCGATGTGGAGGTCGTCGACGGCGGCGATTGTGGTGGCCGTCGACTTGAGCCCCTTCTCCATGAGATCTGGGCGAGTTGTCGGACTCGGCGATTGGTGGCGGCAGCGGGTCTGACAACGACGAAGACATGACGACGGGCTCATTACGGTGGCGTTGGCATGCCGGAATCAGCGAATTGTGGCCGGCCTGTGGTGAGCTGCCGACGGCGTCGAGAGAGAAGACAAATCGGTAGGAAGGGAGAGAGCCGAGAGAGGAGAAAGGAGAGGGAAGAGATTTATTGTTGGAGAGTTATGGGTGGGACCCACTTAATTTGTGAAATTATATCACTACCCTCTAAGTCTTTTATTTGTCCATGAGATATTAATATATTTACAGTTTTGCCACTATGTTTGACCAGATAATTTAATTTTGACTTCATCATCACCAGTGATGTAACTGATCTAATGATCCATGATCATTCTCATTTCTTTCACTATCTACCATTCTCATATGATCCCTTATATATATATATATATATATATAGGTAAGGGATCATATGAGAATGATTCCTAGTGAAAGAAATAAAAATGAATGTATGTCTTTAGATCTAGCAAATAAGTGGTCATTATGCAGGCAAACTTTAATAATACAGTCAAACATATAATGGCATTATGGTAATATTTAAACACATAGTGGTCAAATATATGCAATTGGCCAACTATTAAGGATATAATAGTCATTAAACAATTACCAAACCTAACCAGGTGGACCCCACCCCAACCCAACACATATCTCTCTCACTCCAACACAATAAACACACACTACAAATCATACACACACCCGCCGCGCACACACACACACACACACGCGGGGCCGGTAAATCGGTAACAGCCCATCACCACCAGCCCGCCGGCTCACATTCGTCGTCTGCCACCACGAGACCGTCGTCGGCCACAGAGATGACCGGCACTAGTAGAACCGCTTCTGCCGTCCGTAGAAAAATTAATGGCCGCCGGAGACGCCCGCCGTCAGCCTTAGCATGAAGCTTCACGCACCGCTCGGCAAAATACCGCCGCTTCGAAGCCGCGCAACCCACCTCCGGCCTACCGGACGCCTTCAAGATGGTCGCGGGAACCGTGAGGACCTCCGCCGTCGTCATCGCCGGAGTGAACTCGTTACTGGACGGCCGGCGATTTCCAATCGACATTCACGATGAGATGAAATTGTTGCTGTTGGATTGGATAGAAATTGTACATATTTAGTTGCAGGAATTTTTTGGCATATATTTGTGAATTTGATAAGTTTTGAGGACTTAATTGCAATTTTAGTTTTTTTAATCAAATTTCAATTTGGCACATGGGGCTAACCTATAATTTATAAAAAGATATCAAATACACAATAATGATAAAAAAAAGTGTAAATTATTACTTGATAAATGCACATTATTACCGATATTTTCTAAAATAAATAAATAATAATTGAACCGGAATATAAAATTTCGAACCAAAAATTTTAGTTCGTTCGATTTTGGTTGTTAGTGCAGTCTAATATTCATTGATGTGCAATTCGTATAACAATATCATGCAATTGTAATACCTATAAATGAATAAATAAAAAACTAAATTTTTTCATGTAGTTCAATTGGTTTGTTTTTTTTTTTTCTGTTATTTAAAAAAAAATGTCGACCTTGTATTGAAATAACATTTATGATAAAAGTAAAAAACAAATAATAAACTGAAATGTAAAAATTTGAACCGAAAAAAATAGTTCAATTGATCCAGTGCCATCCAATAGTCATTAATGTGCATTTCATCTTACAATATGGTGCGGTTGTTGAACATATAATCACATTTATTCGATCAATTCACTAAAATACCATAAATAATTTAGTATTTATATTATTAAAAAAAAAACATATTTAGTGTTTCTTAATATTTATATTTTATATTTTTCTTGTTGAAAATAAATAATATTCTTATATATAAAATGTAGAAAATATATTTTATATATTTCAATCATTTTTTATTATTTTGGTCATTTAAAAAAAATAAAGTCGATATTGAACAGAGATAATCTACACTTTACAAATAAAAGTAGATAATCGAGCCGAAATATATGATATCGCCACGAAAATTTTAGTCCATTTGTTTTTGGTCATTACGTGCAATTTGGCTAAAATTACTGTGCAATATAGTATTCGTTAATGTGCAATTCGTATAACACTGTTGTGCAGTTGCACTGTATGCATTTTTTAACGGCTTGTCCCATCAAGCTAAAAATAACCGAAATAATTGATTTAATCAATCGGTTTACCGAATTAAACTAAATATACAAAATAATATTTTTATATAGTTTTTGTTGGTTGATTATTATAAAAACATAAAGTCGATGTTGGAACGAAATAATTCAAATTTATAAATAAAAAAAGGATAACCGAACCTGTGTATATGAGTTGTATAAGAAAAATAAGTTCAATCGTTCGATACATTTATTACACTAAAGTGCAATATGATAGGCACAAAAGTGCATCCCGTTAGTCGTTACTGTGCAATATGTATAATACAATTTTAATATTTTTTCCTAAGTTTATTTAATATTTTAATATGTATAAAAAACATATAACAATAATATTATTCGACATGTTCGGATATTTTGTTTATTTAAAAAAAAATCCGTCATTAACCAACTAATATTATTCGATCGGTTATTGGAATTATTGTAATTTTGGTACGTGCAACACGTTGTGTTATAAAGTGCAGTGTACTGCTGTATAAAATGCAATGTATTTATTTATAAAGTGCAATACTGGAATTCTGGTATGTTAACATGATTGTGCTCTTTTTTGTGGATATATGATGTGGTGGATAATAAAGTATTAGGTCGATCCGTTTTTTATATTTATATTGTGTAATATTTTGTTGAGAGTTGACATTAATTCTAGAGTGTGATAATAAAGTGCGACGTGTTGTTTTGTAAAGTGCAATATTCCACTATATAAAGTGCGATAATATATAGTTCGATCGATTATATAAAACATGTTGTTTTATAGAAATTATAGATTTGCCACATTAACTTAATTGAAATAAAATGAAATTTATAAAATTACAATTAGGTATCTGTCTATTATCTAATTTCCAAAAGAAAGGCCCAAGCACAAAAATCTTGATTCTGTTCATCCTCCGTGCCCAGCACCCCGCGCCGTCAGCTTCTCCGCCCAACGATTGTCGGCGTCGCCGTATCCAGCGGCCGCTGTTCGACGATGTTTTTTTTTTCCACAAACCGCCACTGGAGGTCGACCTTCGAGCTTGAAGGTCCATTTTTTTTTTGTGCCGCTGAATCTGAACGGAGGGTGTATTTTTTTTTTGTGCCGCTGAATCTGAACGGAGGGTGTTTATGTCGATCTTGACGCTGGAGGATGACGCCGGAGACGACGACTTGAACGGTTGCACGGCACTCTTGTGAAGGCAGACAGAATCCGACCGTGATGGCGGCTCCGACGGTGGCGGTTGCTCGGCGTTGTCTTGAATGGGGATGGCGAAGATGGAGGCGGAGAGGACGTGTATCTGAAAGCTTGTCTGGTTTGTGTCGCCGGAGAAGACGACCTCGTCGTTGGATTTTGAGATGCCGGAGAAGACGACCTCTCGTCGTCAGATTTCTGGTCGACGAGTGAACAGTAAAGCAGACGACGGGTGTTGGCTTTCTCGACTATCGGTCGGCGCCGGACTTCGGCGGTGCTCTGTGAAGTGGCCGATGTCTGTCGGGCCTTGACAGATTCAGTGTATGTAAGGTGTGTTCTACCGTTGGTGTGTGAGTCTGCGTGAGGGAGAAGAGAGCGTGAAAGAGGAGAGAGATGACCTGGCAAATTGGATGATTTAATTGGGAAGTGGAGCCCATTAATGTAGTGGATGGTTGGTTGATGTGTGATTAAATATCTATAATACCCTTGATTAATGTAACAATGTTGATTGTTTTTTTACCGTTGGATCATTCAATCTAATGGCTACGATTTATTCTTATTTCTTTCATTGAGAATCATTCTCATGTGAATCCAACCCTCTATATATATATATATATATATATATATATATATATTTAAAATGAAATTCTATATATATATATTTAAAATGAAATTCTATAGATTATTTTAAAAATAACATGAATCAAAGCATAAAATTTCATAGCACAATTATGTAATAAAAAAAATAAGTATCACTGCCCGATCTAATTCAGTGCTACTATCGTGCGCCCTGACACACCTAGCGAGGTGTGTCAAGACAGTTTAAAATGAACATGTGTAAATATATTTACACATGTTCATTTTATTATGTAACATGTTCATTTTAAACTGCCTTGGCACACCTTACTAGGTGTGCCAGGGCGCACCTAAGAATTTGCGGATCTAATTAGGCTCATGTCGTACAAGAATAAATGAAATTTAAAACCACTCATAGCTAAACATTACACTTTGCTAATTTTTTTACATATGGGCAGCTCCAACTTTGAAATAAAATGTTTATTGTCTCCAATTTGTAGAAAATTATAATATTTTACAATATAATATATAATTGAATAGTACATACTATTATTGAAAATATAAACCCAAAGGAAATTAATCCAATCTCAAAATTATTCATGTCAAATAAGTAATAATCAATCAAATGAAATGGAAGCGTAAATGAATTATCTAGTGTGTAAATGAATCAACTGGTGTGGCTTTTCAACGATCGAAACCTTACAGAAAATATATTATATGTATATTGTATACATGAATTCATTAACAATGAGAATTCTTTCTTAAATTTGTTAGACTGGTGTGGTCTTCCAACGATCCAAATCTTATAGAAGATATATTATTTTTGTATTGTATATATACATTTAATGTACTGATTGTGTGCTTTTAAAGGGAAAAAACCAGAAGATATATTATTTTTGTATTGTATATATACATTTAATGTACTGATTGTGTGCTTTTAAAGGGAAAAAACCACTATTTAGAAATATTCTCGTTAAACATATACTCGTACTTTTTCATCGTTTGAAGTCATAACCAAATAAATAAAATTTATTAATTCATCAACAAACTAAGTAAGAGGAAGAGTATAAGATAGGCCCAAAACTCTTCCTCTCGAGAAAGAAAGATTGTGCGGCCAATGAGCAGTGGTATGCCCGAGGAGTGCTGGGCTTGCGGAAGGCTTTTCATAGGCCGGCCGGGGATCAGCACACACAAGTGCGTCATGTCCCGTCGCAGTCATCACCTCTGAGTAAGGCAATAGATGGGTTTGTCGCAATTTGTTTCGACAATAATCCATCCAATATACTATCTCATCATAAGGACAATTAGATATAATTTGCATTGTACATTAGTTATCCTTCCAACATTACGACACAAATACTTGGTTCGCATTTTACTGCCAAAAAATCATTTACGAACCAACAGAAAAATTACGTTTAAACAAAATCAATTTTGTTCCGCACAACCTGTCTCACATCTGATGATAGTCCAGTGCAAGTGTAAAAACAAAACACACTATCTGATAGATATAAGTTGGGTGATCAAGGATGGAGCAACTAGAATGTCACTTGTCTAAATGAGCAGGCATTATCTCCACATATGATGGCTCGAAAACAAGGTAAAAAATTTATAACAACACAAATGAAGTGCATTGTCATTACAACAGAATGCAAACCTCTATTATGCACCATTGCACTGCAGACAAATATTACAACAAAACAACACACTTTGCTAACTGTTTCTAAACCCTATACGTGTCATTTGCATCAACTAAAATATGGATGCACAAACAAACAAGCTGCCGAACTTCACAAATATATACTAAAATTGTATATAGACAGTGAAACTTTTGGTGCCACCTTTTTAGGACACAACATGTGGCTGCAAAATCACGTAACTTACAGTTCCATAGACATTAATATCCTCTGATCTTTTGCCATAGGACAAGAAGCAGCCTCAACAACCTGCCAGGAGTTAACTGTAAGGCCAAAGAAGAGGTCTCTAGTGCACAATACGTTCAGCAATTGAATACCACATGCAACAGGACACATAACAGACCTAGAAAATAAAAATAAAAAGTACCAAATAAAGATGTGGAGACATTACACATTTCATGCACGGACTTCTCAATCAAGACTTGGTGCAAACACTATGTCTTTAAGGCTTTCAATTCCCATCAACTCTCATACTAGAAATGATAAAGCATTTTACAGGGGCAAAAAACTTAATGTACTTATGGAATCACAATATATATAATATATAATATTAATTATCACGGGTTATAGCTTTTAGAAAGAATTGCATTGACCACGTTCTGTGCAACAAAATAAAACTTATGAAAGCAGAATGATACAGCCAAAGTAATTTATATCTATATCTACATCTACATCTATATAATAGTTCTGACTTACTGATCCTAAAATTGACTTGTATTTTCCCTCCTAAAGATTTCGGATCAAATATGGACATATACCGACACATAGTGCATGGACTGGTTTAAAAAATGATGAATAATATAATTGGATTAATTAATTAGTTATTAATCAAATTTCAACGTAGAGTCGTCGATGTGTATTAAACAAGAACAATGCTAATTATGACATCCATGAATAATGGTAAGCAATCTTGTGCAGTAAGTAGAGTATTTATTCATTGAATGGACTTTATGGAAGAAAAACTTTCAATAATATATTGTTTATCCGGAAATCAATATAACAAATCTTTTCCTAAAATATTAGGCCACAACTTCCTCATTCATTCATGGAGATAACGAGCATAGCTTGGTGGTAAGACATTTCACCTATTACCGATAGGTCATGAGTTTGAATCACCACCAAGGAGGGGAAATGAACACTATTGATCGTCCTTTGTTTAT